TGTGTCCTAGGTTTTCTTTTTGTTTGTGTGTTCCCAAGAGAAGATTTCTATTAGAATTTAGGGCACTCGTACAATTAAAAATTATTCTGGTTCACAATTGAGTTTGGGTTCATGTTGAAAAATCCATTGCTTGTGTGTTTTGAACTTACCACATGCCTGAACATGTACATACAGACAGTATCATGTGTTTATGTTCCCCTCCTAACCAGACATTCTTCTAACATACGTTTCGTATGATTCCTAGAGAAGATACCATACATACCATGTGATGGGAAGTTGTTCTGACTAGTAATAGTGTGTCCCCGTTATGTATGCTCCGATTTTATTGCTCTAACAGTGGAATGTATAAATCTGGACACAAAACCTGCTGTTTTCTTAAACGTTTCTGGTATGTGTGGTATCCAGTATGAATGTGTGACTTGTAACATAGCAATTGTATTCGGTATGTATGGCTAAATGTAACATATTAAATTATTATTATTATTATAATTGGATCCGGTGTGTGTGGCTGAATGTAACATAGTAATTATATACAGCATGTACAGTGCCTTTTAGAAAGTATTCATACCCCACTCGGGGCTCCCGAGTGGCGCGGCGGTCTAAGGCACTGCATCTCAGTGCTTGAGGCGTCACTACAGACCCCCTGGTTCGTTTCCAGGCTGTATCACAACCGGCCGTGATTGGGAGTCCCATAGGGCGGCGCACAATTGGCCCAGCGTCGTCCGGGTTTGGCCGGTGTAGGCCGTCATTGTAGGCCGTCATTGTAAATATATATAAACTTATTCCACATTCTATGTTTTGTTAAATTGTTGTTTTATAGCCTGAATTCATAATGGATTAAATGATATTGTTTCTTACCCATCTACACCCAATAACCCATAATGACAAAGTGAAAACCTTTTTTTTTTTTTTTATGTTTGCAAATGTATTCAAAATTAAATATCTCATTTACATATTTGACAGAGCTTGAAGAATTAAAAAAAAATATATATATGGGCAAATGTTCCACAAGCTAGGTGTGGAAAAGCTCTTAGAGACTTACCCAGAAAGACTCAAAGCTGTAATCGCTGCCAAAGATGCTTCTACAAAGTATTGACTCAGGGGTGTGAATACTTATGTAAATGAGGTATTTCTGTATTTAATTTATAAATGTGCAAACATTTCTAAAAACATGTTTTGGTCCTCTGTAGTTCAGCTGGTAGAGCACGGCGCTTGTAACGCCAAGGTAGTGGGTTCGATCCCCGGGACCACCCATACACAAAAATGTATGCACGCATGACTGTAAGTCGCTTTGGATAAAAGCGTCTGCTAAATGGCTTATTATTATTATTATTATTATTATTATTTTCACTTTGTCATTATGGGGTATTGTGTGTAGATGGGTGAGTTAAAAAAAAAATGGTATTCCATTTTGAATTCGGTCTGTAACATAACAAAATGTGAAATAAGTCAAGGAATGAATACTTTCTGAAGGCACCGTATCTGTGACTGTAACATAGTAATTGTACCTGGTATGTATGTATGTACACTACATGACCATAAGTATGTGGACACCTGCTCGTCGAACATCTCATTCCAGAATCATGGGCATTAACATGGAGTTGGTCCCCCCCTTTGCTGCTATAACAGCCTCCACTCTTCTCGGAAGGCTTTCCACTAGATGTTGGAACATTGCTGCGGGGGACTTGCTTCCATTCAGCCACAAGAGCATTAGTGAGGTCGGGCACTGATGTTGGGCGATTAGGCCTGGCTCGCAGTCGGCGTTCCAATTAATCCCAAAGGTGTTTGATGGGGTTGAGGTCAGGGCTCTGTGCAGGCCAGTCAAGTTCTTCCACACCGATCTCGACAAACCATTTCTGTATAGACCTCGCTTTGTTGCAATGGGGCATTGTCATGCTGAAACAGGAAAAGGCCTTCCCCAATCTGTTGCCAGATTAGTACAGATTAGTCTAGAATGGCATTGTATGCTGTAGCGTTAAGATTACCCTTCACTTGAACTAAGGGGCCAAGCCCGAATCATGAAAAACATCCCCAGACCATTATTCCTCCTCCACCAAACTGTACAGTTGGCACTATGCATTCGGGCAGGTAGCGTTCTCCTGGCATCTGCCAAACACGGTAGTGAGTGTTGCAACCGAGAACAGACCATTTTTACGCGCTTCAGCACTTGGCGGTCCCATTCTGTGAGCTTGTGTGGCCTACCGCTTCGCAGCTGAGCCGTTGTTGCTCCTAGACATTTCCATTTCACAGTAACAGCACTTAGAGTTGACCAGGGCAGCTCTAGCAGGGCAGACATTTTACGAACTGACTTATTGGAAAGGTGGCATCCTATGATGGTGCCACGTAAGTCACTGAGCTCTTCAGTAAGGCCATTCTACTGCCAATGTTTGTCTGTGGAGATTGCATGGCCGTGCGCGCTCGTTTTTATACACCTGTCAGCAACGGGTGTGGCTGAAATAGCCGAATCCACTAATTTGAAGGGGTGTCCAAATACTGCTGTATATATATTGTATGTGTGACTGTGACATATTAATAGATGGACACAGTAATGATGTTTCCTGTGTGTGTTGTTGTGTTCTGTCAGCACTGGGCTGGCATCTGTAGTGACTTGGTTCTGTCTGTCTATACACTACCGGTCAAAAGTTTTGGAACACCTACTCTTTCAATAATTTTTTTCTTTATTTTTACTATTTTCTACATTGTAGAATAATGGTGAAGACATCAACACTATGAAATAACACATATGGAATCATGTAGTAACCAAAAAAGTGTTAAACAAATCAAAATATATTTTATATTTGAGATTCTTCAAATAGCCACCCTTTGCGTTGATGACAGCTTTGCACACACTTGGCATTCTCTCAACCAGCTTCACCTGGAATGCTTTTTCCAACAGTCTTGAAGGAGTTCCCACATACGCTGAGCACTTGTTGGCTGCTTTTCCTTCACTCTGCCGTCCGACTCATCCAAAACCATCTCAATTTGGTTGAGGTCGGGGGATTGTGGAGGCCTGGTCATCTGATGCAGCACTCCATCACTCTCCTTCTTGGTAAAATAGCCCTTACACAGCCTGGAGGTGTGTTGGGTCATTGTCCTGTGGAAAAACAAATGATAGTCCCACTAAGCCCAAACCAGATGTGATGGCGTATCGCTGCAGAATGCTGTGGTAGCCATGCTGGTTAAGTGTGTCTTTAATTCTAAATAAATCACAGACAGTGTCACCAGCAAAGCACCCCCACACCGGAGATCATCCGTTCACCCACACCGCATCTCACAAATACACGGCGGTTGGAACCAAAAATCTCAAATTTGGACACCAGACCAAAGGACAACTTTCCACTGGTCTAATGTCCATTGCTCGTGTTTCTTGGCCCAAGCAAGTCTTTTCTTCTTATTGGTGTCCTTTAGTAGAGATTTCTTTGCAGCAATTGACCATGAAGGCCTGATTCACACAGTCCCCTCTGAACAGTTGATGTTGAGATGTGTCTGTTACTTGAACTCTGTGAAGCATTTATTTGAGGCTGGTAACTCTGAAGTTATCCTCTGCAGCAGAGTTAACTCTGGGTCTTCCATTCCTGTGGCAGTCCTCATGAGAGCCAGTTTCATCATAGCACTTGATGGTTTTTGCGACTGCACTTTCAAAGTTCTTGACATTTTCCGTATTGACTGACCTTTCATGTCTTAAAGTAATGATGGACTGTCGTTTCTCTTTTGCTTATTTGAGCTGTTCTTACCATAATATGGACTTGGTCTTTTACCAAATAGGGCTATCTTCTGTATACCCCCCTACCTTGACACAACACAACTGATTGGCTCAAACACATTAAGAAGGAAAGAAATTCCACAAATTAACTTTTAAGAAGGCACACCTGTTAATTGAAATGCATTCCAGGTGACTACCTCATGATGCTGGTTGAGAGAATGCCTAGAGTGTGCAAAGCTGTCATCAAGGCAAAGGGTGGCTACTTTGAAGAATCTCAAATGTAAAATATATTTTGATTTGTTTAACACTTTCTTGGTTACTACATGATTCCATATGTGGTATTTCATAGTTTTGATGTCTTCACTATTATTCTACAATGTAGAAAATAGTAAAAATTAAGAAAAACCCTTGAAAGAGTAGGTCTGTCCAAACTTATGACCGGTAGTGTGCACTAGACAGTACAGGGACAGTAACACTGAGCTGGCGTCTGTAGTGACAGTAACACTGAGCTGGCGTCTGTAGTGACAGTAACACTGAGCTGGCGTCTGTAGTGACAGTAACACTGAGCTGGCGTCTGTAGTGACAGTAACACTGAGCTGGCGTCTGTAGTGACAGTAACACTGAGCTGGCGTCCTGTAGTGACAGTAACACTGAGCTGGCGTCTGTAGTGACAGTAACACTGAGCTGGGCGTCTGTAGTGACAGTAACACTGAGCTGGCGTCTGTAGTGACAGTAACACTGAGCTGGCGTCTGTAGTGACAGTAACACTGAGCTGGCGTCTGTAGTGACAGTAACACTGAGCTGGCGTCTGTAGTGACAGTAACACTGAGCTGGCGTCTGTAGTGACAGTAACACTGAGCTGGCGTCTGTAGTGACAGTAACACTGAGCTGGCGTCTGTAGTGACAGTAACACTGAGCTGGCGTCTGTAGTGACAGTAACACTGAGCTGGCGTCTGTAGTGACAGTAACACTGAGCTGGCGTCTGTAGTGACAGTAACACTGAGCTGGACAGTAACACTGAGCTGGTCTGTATGACAGTAACACTGAGCTGGCGTCTGTAGGGACAGTAACACTGAGCTGGCGTCTGTAGTGACAGTAACACTGAGCTGGCGTCTGTAGTGACAGTAACACTGAGCTGGCGTCTGTACTGACAGTAACAACACATAGAAACAAGTCACCACAACTCCAGTCCTACATGATCAAACTATGAAAACCTCTGCTCTGAGACCAACATACTGTATCTTGTCAGTAGTTTATTGAATTGATTGTTTTTGTGGTGTGTGTGTGTGTGTTGCAGGAGCTGTGCCAATGTCGTCCGTCCGATGGGAACTGTTCATGTTGTAAGGAGTGTATGCTGTGTCTGGGGACACTGTGGGAGGAGTGCTGCGACTGTGTTGGTGAGTACTGTGTTGGTGAGTACTGTGTTGGTGAGTACTGTGTTGGTGAATACTGTGTTGGTGAGTGCTGTGTGTGTGTGTCGGTCGGTCAGTCACATCTCACACAGTACAATATCTGTGTTATTCATGAAACACAACAATACCAGTCAAAAACAGTGCAGTGGTTATCAGCCTCATCAATTAGACAGGAACGTCTGTGGAGTTACTATAATGACTGAGTGCACTTGTCAAGTTTTCTGCGCAGGTTGGTTTAATAGTGTCTGATAGGCTCCACTCTGCTTCCCCACTCTGCTGCTCTGCTGCCTCCGCTCTGCTGCCTCCGCTCTGCTGTCTCCGCTCTGCTGCCTCTGCTCTGCTGCCTCCACTCTGCTGCCTCTGCTCTGCTGCCTCCGCTCTGCTGCCTCCACTCTGCTGCCTCTGCTCTGCTGCCTCCACTCTGCTGCCTCTGCTCTGCTGCCTCCGCTCTGCTGCCTCTGCTCTGCTGCCTCTGCTCTGCTGCCCCCGCTCTGCTGCTCTGCTGCCTCTGCTCTGCTGCCTCCACTCTGCTGCTCTGCTGCCTCCACTCTGCTGCCTCCACTCTGCTGCTCTGCTGCCTCCACTCTGCTGCCTCCACTCTGCTGCTCTGCTGCCTCCACTCTGCTGCTCTGCTGCCTCCGCTCTGCTGCCTCCACTCTGCTCTGCTGCTCTGCTGCCCCCTCTGCTGCTCTGCTGCCTCCGCTCTGCTGCTCTGCTGCCTCCACTCTGCTGCTCTGCTGCCTCCACTCTGCTGCCTCCGCTCTGCTGCCTCCACTCTGCTGCTCTGCTGCCTCCACTCTGCTGCTCTGCTGCCTCCACTCTGCTGCCTCCACTCTGCTGCTCTGCTGCCTCCACTCTGCTGCCTCCACTCTGCTGCTCTGCTGCCTCCACTCTGCTGCTCTGCTGCCTCCACTCTGCTGCCACCACTCTGCTGCTCTGCTGCCTCCACTCTGCTGCCTCCACTCTGCTGCTCTGCTGCCTCCGCTCTGCTGCTCTGCTGCCTCTGCTCTGCTGCCTCCGCTCTGCTGCTCTGCTGCCTCTGCTCTGCTGCCTCCACTCTGCTGCTCTGCTGCCTCCACTGTCTACATTTTGTGTGCCCTACCTCATCACCCACTGGTTTTTAACTGCTACAAGTCCGTTTGGTGGAAACAAACACACCGCTGGTGGGAAAATGTGCATATGATCTTTATGCAGATGTTAGAATATTCGCATGACAATCTGTCGCCAATTAGATGGAAACCTAGCTACTGCAAATACATTTTGGGTTTAGGGAGGAGGGATGGATGGAAGGAGGGGTAGACCAATGTGTATGGTGGTTTATCTGAAACCGCTATCTTGGCTCTGTTTTTAGCGTCGATTTAGTTTGTAATCCAATATTCCTCCGTCAAACTTTGCTGCTTATTTAAATGATTTAGCTAATTCATTTCTACTCATTTAAAATCTTATGCTAATCATATCTGATGGGATTATCAACGGACTGGTTAAGGGAAAGAGGAGGGAAACGAGGTGAAGCAAGACGAAGATGGGGGGGCAGAACGAGGGGCAGAGATAACGGTGTCATTGGTGGTGGTTAGACCGGGGAAAAGGGAGGAGGGAGAAACGGCACGCGCGCGCGCACGCCCGAGAACGGAAGAGGGAAAAAAAGAAAGGAGAGAGTAGAGAGAAGAGGAAGAGATGAGACGCGAGAGAGTAGAGAGTAGAGAGTTTAGAAAAAGGAGGGAGAGCAGGAAGAGAGAGAGAGAGAGAAGAGTTAGAGGTAGGTAGAGAGAGGGCGAGAGAGAGATGTAGAGAGAGTAGGAAGACGGGAAGAGAGAAGTGAGAGAGCAATGAGACAAAAGAGGGAGAGAGAAGAGAGAAAAAAGATTTCGAGGGAGAGAGAGAGGAGAGAGAGAGAGGCGAAGATAAGAAGAGAGAGAGAGAGAAGGAGAGAGAGGAGGAGAGAGAGAGCAGAGAGAGAAGAGAAAAGAGAGAGAGAGAGAGAGAGAGAGAGAGAGAGAGCGACGCAGAGAGAGAGAGAGAGCATGAGCAGAGAGAGAGAGAGAGAGAGAAGAGAGAGAGAGAGAGAGAGACAGAGAGAGAGAGAGAGAACACAGAAAGAAAACTAAATGATATAGCGATTAATATCTATGACCCCTTATTGTTTCTCAAGTTTTTAATAAATGCTTAGTCTATCATTTTGTCCGTTTTTAACTTATTTCTCATTTTATAGGCAGGGAGAGAGAGAGAGAGAACAGAGCAGAAGAGCCAGTATCTTTAAGCACAAATCTAGCATAGTGGATGACGAGACTAGCAGACTAGAGTAGAGAATCAGATAGAGAAGAAAGCTTGCATTGCCTTTCTGTCTCTATCTCCAGGCTTGAGAGAGACAGCGGTACTGGAGAGATGGAGACGAACGCCAGTATGAGAGATGAGGAGACCCTCGCTTCGAGAGAGAGTAGAGCGTCAGTCCACCGCTAGCAGATTGAGAAATCTGTGTTTTTGCATACTTATACACAACTTGATGTTAAACTTCTTTAAGAGGGATCTCGAGACTGAGGACGTAGTAGGAGAGAGATGATGAAAAGAGGTGAGAGAGAGAGGGAGAGAGAGAGGAGAGAGAGAGAGCAGAGAGGCCTGGCCCATGAGTCCTTACGTCATGAAGAGTTACTTCTAGGGATGTGTGCTTCTTTCTACCGATCAAGGATAGTCCAGGGAGAGAGAGAGATCGTTGTTAATTAATTAGTCCTGCATATCCGTGCCTCCCCTTTATATGCCGGGAGGGGCGGAAAATAGAAGCGTGGTTGGCACGTGGGTCGGTAGAGAATTAAGGACCAGAGACGATGAGCGAGGGAGAAGAGAGGCATCCGAGCAATTAGCCACGTGGAGACGGTGAATGATGAGTTACGATATAGGCCTATTCTTCAGCGTTAGCGAGGAGATGATGAGCAGTAGAGCAGAGGGTAGAAAAGAGATTTCGATAATGTAGTTATACTCGCTGTCTCCCCCTTTCTTGTGTAAGGTGGGCATTTACGCAGCGTACACTTGAGATGTCATGAGCAGGTATGAGCGTTAGAGTTAGCTAGAGTGTAGTAGAGAAGGAGCTTGCTATATGAGATGAAAATTTATCATAGGTCTTCGGCATTGGGTTTGTCCGCCCTCATCAGTCGTTAGACGTAGATTGGTGGTTTATCCCTTGAGGTTTCCTTGTGGCGCAGATGAGAATAGAGGACTGAGGAGATGAATCAATCGATCATCGAGACGGCGTCTGTACAGTCCATACTCGGCTTAGAGAGAAGAGAGCACGGAGAGCCAGTTTCCATTCAAGGGTCGATAGTAAAAATGCCTAATACGAGGGAGATATGTGCGTGAGAGTCCAGTTTTCAAGAGTCAGAGTAGCAATGAGTCCGCTGTAAAGAGAGAGAGGGACCTGGAAAAAAGTGTTACATGTCAGGGACGAGAGAGAGTGGATGAGCGAGAGAGAGAAGAGACGAGATCGAGAGGAGAGCGCCAAGAGAGAGAGAGAGAGAGTAGGAAAGACGAGAGAGAAAAAGAGGGAGAGAGAGACGCAGTAGAGAGAGAGAAAAGAGAGGGGACGAGAGAGAAGTGGCAGCAGATGACGAGAAGAGAATTGAAGATGAGAGAGAGAGACGCAGAGTAGAAAAAGGGGAGAGAGAAGAGAAGAGAGGGCAGAGTAGAGAGAGTAAAAAAAGTAGGCTGAGAGAGAGATGGATGCGGTTGAGGTCCCTTCCTGGCATCTGTCCCTTTGGGAGTAGTACTGAGAGAGGGAGCAGTGAGAAGAGAGACAGATTGAGAGAGAGAGAGAACGAAGAGAGGAGGGGAGAGAGAAAGTGAGGGAGAAGAGAGAGAGAAAAGCAGGGGAGAGGAGAGAGAAGAGGAGAGGGAGAGTATGGCGAGAGGTAGAAAGAATGAGGACGGGGAGAGAGCAGAGAGAACAAAAGAGGGAGAGAGAGAGAGAGAGAAAGAGAAAAAAAGGACAAGAGGGAGAGAGAGAGAGAGAGAGAGAGAGAGAGAGAGAGAGAGAGGAGAGAGAGAAAAAAAGAGGGAGAGAGAGAGAGAGAGAGAGAGAGAGAGAGAGAGAGAGAGAGAGAAAAAGAGGGAGAGAAAGACTTTCTCTCTCTCTCTCTCTCTTTCTCTCTCTCTCTTCTCTCTCTCTCTCTATTTCTCTCTCTCTCTCCTTTCTCTCTCTCTCTCTCATTCCTCTTCCCCCCTCTCCCCCTCTTCCCCCTCTCTCCCCCTCTCCTCTCAGGGATGTGTAACCCTAAGAACTACAGTGATACTCCAGCCACCTCCAAGAGCACAGTGGAGGAACTCCATCGACCAATCCCCTCGCTGTTCCGAGCCCTCACGGAGGGCGACGCCCCTATCAACATGATGGTGGTGTCCTTCCCCGTTGCAGAGGAACTATCTCACCATGAGAACCTGGTCTCCTTCCTAGAGACGCTTGATGACCAGCACCAGAACGTATCGCTCCCCGGCAACAGCATCCATGCCAGCTACAACACTCAAGGTAGCGAAACCATAGAACTAGAATGAATAGACTGTGGAACCATAGAATTAGAATGATTAGACTGTGGAACAATATAAATAGAATGATTAGACTGTGGAACCATATAAATAGAATGATTAGACTGTGGAACCATATTAATAGAATGAATAGACTGTGGAACCATATTAATAGAATGAATAGACTGTGGAACCATATTCATAGAATTAATAGACTGTGGAACCATATTAATAGAATGAATAGACTGTGGAACCATAGAAATAGAATGAATAGACTGTGGAACCATAATCGAATGAATAGACTGTGGAACCATATTAATAGAATGAATAGACTGTGGAACCATATTAATAGAATGAATTTACTGTGGAACCATAGAAATATAATTAATAGACTGTGGAACCATATTAATAGAATGAATAGACTGTGGAACCATAGAAATAGAATGAATAGACGGTGGAACCATATTAATAGAATGAATAGACTGTGGAACCATAGAAATAGGATGAATAGACTGTGGAACAATAGAAATAGAATGAATAGACTGTGGAACCATATTAATAGAATGAATAGACTGTGGAACCATAGAAATAGAATGAATAGACTGTGGAACCATATTAATAGAATGATTAGACTGTGGAACCATATTAATAGAATGAATAGACTGTGGAACCATAGAAATAGAATGAATAGACTGTGGAACCATATTAATAGAATGAATAGAGTGGAACCATAGAAATAGAAGATTAGACTGTGGAACCATATTAATAGAATGAATAGACTGTGGAACCATAGAAATAGAATGAATAGACTGTGGAACCATATTAATAGAATGAATAGACTGTGGAACCATAGAAATAGAATGAATAGACTGTGGAACCATAGAATAGAATGAATAGACTGTGGAACCATATTAATAGAATGATTAGACTGTGGAACCATAGAAATAGAATGAATAGACTGTGGAACCATATTAATAGAATGAATAGACTGTGGAACCATATTAATAGAATGATTAGACTGTGGAACCATATTAATAGAATGAATAGACTGTGGAACCATAGAAATAGAATGAATAGACTGTGGAACCATATTAATAGAATGATTAGACTGTGGAACCATAGAAATAGAATGAATAGACTGTGGAACCATATTAATAGAATGAATAGACTGTGGAACCATATTAATAGAATGATTAGACTGTGGAACCATATTAATAGAATTAATAGACTGTGGAACCATATTAATAGAATGATTAGACTGTGGAACCATATTAATAGAATGATAGACTGTGGAACCATATTAATAGAATGATTAGACTGTGGAACCATATGAATAGAATAAACAGAATAGTATGATAGATTCTATTTCTATGAATGGAACACTGTCGTCATTAGAGACAGTTGGGATTCCTTTCAGTGAAAACTGTTTAGACCCTTTTTAGATGAGGGTGTAAAACACTGAAAGCTAAACACAGGAGTGGTTAGTTTACACTAGAGGAGAAACACCAAGGCGGATCTGGAGTGATGGGATTGGTGATGTTAACCGCCTGGCCTGAGTATTTTCCCCTCCCCTTCTCTCTCTATCTTCTCTCTCTCCTCCTCCTCTTCTTCTCCTCCCGTTCTTCTTCTTCTTCTTCTTCTTCTTCTTCTCTGGCTGGGTTATTATTATGATCCTTCTCTCATATCCTGCCTTCTGTCTGGTTCTGAACCTATGATCCAGCTCTCATATCCTGTCCTCTGTCTGGTTCTGAACCTATGATCCAGCTCTCATAGCCTGTCCTCTGTCTGGTTCTGAACCTATGATCCAGCTCTCATATCCTGTCCTCTGTCTGGTTCTGAACCTATGATCCAGCTCTCATATCCTGTCCTCTGTCTGGTTCTGAACCTATGATCCAGCTCTTATAGTCTATATAAAGACACTGCGCTCACATGAGTTTCCAAAGACACCACATTCGTTAAATATGAGAGCGTTGGTTGGTTCCAACCACAGTGCCCAGCTGTTCGCGCATTAGACACACCAGAAGTTCATCCCAGTTGGTACCCTATTACGTATGTAGTGAACCACTTTTGACCAGGGCCCGAAGACAAGTTGTGCACTTCGTAGGGAATAGGGTGCCATTTGGGACCCTTCCCAGAACACATGGTCACACTTACTGTCAGCAGCACACCCGTTGTCCTCAGTCATAAAAGCAAACCCTAAGGAAAACATTGAGGTTTAATGATTACCGTAACTACTAACTACGGCTTTAAATATGTTTTCATGGGATTACTAGTTATGTTTTTAAAGATGTGGTTACTGTGATAACTGACCTGTGCCCTATTTTCTCTCTGTATCCCTCCACCCTCCTCCCCCTTGTCCGCCAGATAACATGTGTACGGTGGTCTACTTTGACGACTGCGTATCCATCCGCCAGTGTAAACTATACTGTGAGTCGATGGGAGGGTCGAAGTACCGCTGGTTCCACAACGCCTGCTGTCAGTGCATCGGCCCGGAGTGTCTGGACTACGGCAGCAAGGCTGTCAAATGCATGAACTGTCTGTTCTGAAGACTGGTGGTGGATGGATCTATGGTGGTGGAGACTGGGCACCAGATATATGGACCAAACTAATGGGTGGCTCCAGGGAGGGGCTAGATGATGCTGAAGCCTCCTCAAAATAGCGTAGCACCACCAAGCAATATTTTATTAGTACATGCACACCATGTATTACAGGCACCCCTTACACAACAACCAAGCTACCCCTTAGCTACCCCTTAGCTACCCCCAAGCAAAAGTTTCTGGTGCCACCGCTGACCAAACATGAGAAGACTGACTGTCTGACTAGGTCCAATATTCATTTTAACATTTACATTTTAGTCATTTAGCAGACGCTCTTATCCAGAGCGACTTAAAGTTAGTGAATACATACATGTTTTTTTTTATACTGGCCCCCCTGTGGGTAACGAACCCACATCCCTGCCGGCCATTCCCTCCCCTACCCTGGACGACGCTGGGCCAATTGTGCGCCGCCCAATGGGTCTCCCGGTCGCCGTCGGGCTGCGACAGAGCCTGGACTCGAACCAGGATCTCTAGTGGCTTAGACCACTGCGCCACTCGGGAGTCGAGTAACCATCGGAGCTAGCTGACTGAATTTATCCGACTATCACTGATGTGTGTTTCTTTACAGTGTGAATGACATTGTAAAATATTTTCTTCTCACCAATATTTTTGTTTTATTATTATTTTATTCTGTTGTATGTTTCACTGTATATTTTGAGATGTTTTCATTCGGTTTTTAGTTTATTGATAATTCACATCTCGTGCCAAATAAAATACGTTTGGTGACTTGGGGATGGTTTGTGGTCAGTTTAACCCTTTCTACTCTGGCGTGATATAACAATGTAAACCTCATGCTATTTCACCAAAACACATGAGACTTTTATAATACAGCTACATAAGACTTTTATAATACAGATGTAACCTGAAATTGTAGTTGATTGACATCTACCTCAGACCAACCCCTTTGTACACAGTGTAGTCTAAACGTTTAAGTGGCACATCTTTTCTCAATAAACAATCAGGCTAATGTTAGCTAGCTAACCAATCTTTTAAAAAGTCATGAAACACATTAAATCTGTGTGCCACCAGTTGTAAAATGCTGGGGACTAAGTTAGTGACTAGACTAAGTTAGTGACTAGACTAAGTTACTGACTAGATTAAGTTACTGACTATAGTTATAAGCCTACAGTGTGTTCTTGCAGCTTAGGCATCCAGTCTCGCACTCTAATCTTAGCCTAGTGCTATTGTGACAGGAAGCAGATCATTTCCCAGGGAAACACTGTTGTCATTACACCATTCTGGTCCACAGGTGTTCAGCAAGGGAACCAGTGTGTGTGTGTGTGTGTGTGTGTACTGTGGTGGTGTTTTTACTGCGACACTACACACACACGCACGCACGCATAGAGTCGCGCACTTAAAACGCACGCGCACACACACACACGCACACACACTCTCCCTATCTATCCCTCTCCTATTTTTAGTGCCAGTGAAGTTTGCAGATGGTTGGGTGTCTGCCAACTGAGGCTGTACCCAACTGGCGAGGAACAATCAGCAGTCTGTGTATGTGTCAACCATACGATGAAGCTTTGTCCGTCTTTATTGATATAACCCCCCTCTCAGCTGGCTGAGGTCGTTAGATCTGTAGAAGTAGTGCCAAATACACAACGAAGATCACCTTTGAGTAATAATTATAATATGTCATTTAGCAGACGCTTTTATCCAAAGTGACTTAGTCATGTGTGCATACATTTTTGTGTATGGGTGGTCCTGGGGATCGAACCCACTACCTTGGCGTTACAAGCGCCGTGCTCTACCAGCTGAGCTACAGAGGACCAGTAAAAGCTGTCAGCCGTTTCATAATGTATCTGACCAAATATAAATGTTCTAGCTATTAATATGTATATGGTTGAATATATATATATATATATATATACTTTTATTGATAAAGTTGGTCAAACTTGACTTGTAGTTTTCCCTGACTTGTAATTGTAGTTTCCACTGTAAACTACAATTACCGTAGAGTACCAATGGCCACACTGCGCCGACTCAGATCGGTTTATTTGGTAGCAGGTTTTTCGGTGGATAAAGTTGTGTGTGTTAACTGTAGGGGTGCACATGTTGCCAGGGATATCGGAAGTGTCCGGTGCGAGAGAGGCAGGTGGAGGTGGTCAGAGTAGTGCAGAAGGTGTCGTACGCTGAGGCAGTGAAGAAAGTAGAGGAGGATGGGTCAAGGATCAAGGGTACAGAGGATTCCAGTTAGTAGTAGATTTGTGCCAGCGCAGAGGGATTAGGCCAAAGAGTGATTTATGCTTCTGTAAGGTTGGCTTCTTAGCGTTCATAGCGATGGTTACCAACTGTACCGCAGAAATGGTACGTAAATCACAGAAAATAGATGCGGCGGTGGCAGCTGCAGAGATGAATTCGGGCATACGAGATTTAACTTCAAAAGAGTTACAGGGTGTGTTGAGTGGTGGTGTCCCGTCCTCCCAGGCCTTTGGCATGTTGCAGGAGCAGATAGTCAAAGTAGTGGAATGGGGTAGGTAGGTGGTGTCTAGGGCTTAGAGGAGCAGGACTAATGAAGATAATACACATGGGCCATGACTAGGCCTCACTCCAGTACAGTAGGCGGCGGTGTAAGCATCTAAAAGTTGGATGCGATCTGCCAACCAAATCCCAAAGAAGAAGAAGCTAGCAGGAAGCCCCGCTAAGGAATTGACTGAACAGGTTAGTTGGCGAAGTAACACATATTGCTCGCTTCTCAAAGTCGAATTTTTATACAAATTGCGTTAGATAAGTTGTAGTACTTTTATCTACCTCATTTCGATCTACTCTTATGAATCTGTGAGCCACAGTAGGCTACCCATGGGTGGACGATAGCTACGTTAGCTGGCTAGTTAACAAATCACCTGTATAGTAGCAGCAGAAGCGGCTAGCTAATAGCATCTAGCTAAGTTAACAGCTAGGCCTACATTTAAGCCTAGTGGCTAGCTACAACTTTGGTATTTTCTAACGAGTAGCTAGTTTGACAGCTTGCACATTTATTTGAGTCGGTTGCATAACATTAGTTTGCGCCCGCCTGTGTCAAGCTCCTGTAACTAGGTCAGTTGCGTGTGGTGGTTGTATTGAACGGGAGTCCTAATGCTTTATCATCAACCAGGATGTCCATAGGCTAGCCATGATAAGGATGAAAGAAGACTGACGCCAGTGATAGTTGGAATGAACCACATTCGATTTCTGGCTAAATATTTTCTATCCAGCTAGGGCCTGTATTTTTGCTGTACAACTAGTGTGAATTTCATATTAAAAGCTATATATGGGTGAACGTGACTTTTTCAAAAATGCATTGGATTAGATAAGCATTAAAACATGGGGAAACCCATGAAAATGTGTACATCTGTGGGGGGGGGGGGTCAAAGGAAGTGACCCCCAGAGACGAGTTCACAGGCCATGTCTGCTTGTCATTTGAAAGGAAGGAAGTAGGTAGCTAATCAAGCCTTACTACTAGATCCAGCATACAGTGCATTCGTTAAGTATTCAGACCCCTTCCCTTTTTCCACATTTTGTTACGTTACAGACTTATTCTAAAATGGATTTAATAGTTTTGATCCTTCATCAATCGACACACAATACCCCATAATGACAAAGCAAAAACAGATTTCGAAATTTTTGCAAATATATTAAAAATAAACTGAAATATAGCATTTACATAAGTATTCAGACCCTTTACTCAGTACTTTGTTGAAGCAACCTTTGGCAGCGATTACAGCCTTGAGTCTTCTTGGGTATGACGCTACAAGCTTGGCACACCTGTATTTGGGGAGTTTCTCCCATTCTTCTCTGCAGATCCTCTCAAGCTCTGTGAGGTTGGATGGGGAGCGTTGCTGCACAGCTATTTTAATAATAATAATAATAATAATATGCCATTTAGCAGACGCTTTTATCCAAAGCGACTTACAGTCATGTGTGCATACATTTTTACGTATGGGTGGTCCCGGGGATCGAACCCACTACCCTGGCGTTACAAGCGCCGTGCTCTACCAGCTGAGCTACAGAGGACCATGTCTATGGATGTTCAACAGCTGTTTTTATAAATGAGGATTGGATAGGAACTGTATCTATCGCATTGACTTTACTGAATACATTAAAATAACTGTCCAGGTGAAATTCTCACTTTTAAAAGTTCATAGTTTGTTAACTCATACCCAAATAATGTTGTTGACTCATATTAGTGACCAAAGCATAAATTGGAGAAAAAAACAAACATTTAAAAACCCCACCTCAAACTTATATCTCAAACCGACCGTTTCAAAAATGCTTGCTATTTCCTGATAGAGGACGATGTTATCCTCCTGAGGAGGATGAGCTGGCCAATCAGTGGTCTACTCGAATGAATATTTTTATGACCGGTATACGCCAATACCGTTCTGTTGTTGGGGGTATGTACACACCATTCCAACACATAAACACTGCTATTTAACATACTTCATAAAAACATTTTTCACTCATATGGTAATTATCAGTCATATTTCACAGAAATCTGGAAACACTGGACAGTTACTTTTTAATATATTTCTGTAGATGTGCAGCTTATTTCTATAGGTGTGTGACAATCGAACAGGCAGGAATCTATTACAATGACACCGGACGGCATTTAATTTTCAGGTCTCTCCAGAGATGCTCAATCGGGTTCAAGTCCGGCCTCTGTCTGGGCCACTCAAGGACATTCAGAGACTTGTCCCGAAGCCACTCCTGCGTTGTCTTGGCTGTGTGCTTAGGGTTGTTGTCCTGTTGGAAGGTGAACCTTCGCCCCAGTCTGAGGTCCTGAGCAGGTTTTCATCAAGGATATCTGTACTTTGCTGTCATGTGCCTTTTACTGAGGAGTGGCTTCCGTCTGGCCACTCTACCATAAAGGCCTGATTGGTGGAGTGCTGCAGAGATGGTTGTCCTTCTGGAAGGTTCTCCCATTACCACAGAGGAACTCTGGAGCTCTGTCAGAGTGACCATCGGGC